TGACATGAATGAAGATGTGTAGAAGAAGAAGAAGACGAAGAAAGGGAGACAGACGAAGAAAGATTAACATGGATGGAGATGTGTAGGATCAGCGGAGAAGAAGACGAAGAAAAGAAGAGAGAAGAAGGAACATTGACATGAATGGAGGTATTTGGGGGAGGCAAATAAAGATAGGGGAGGAAATAGAAGAAGGATGAGCAAGGAGAAGTAAGAGAAGAAGAGGTGAAACGATAAAGACAGAAAAAACAGGAACAAGAAAAGGAGGAGGAGGAGGAGGAGGAGGGGAATAAGAATAAGAATAAGAAGAAAAAAAGGTAGCTGATAAGGAGTGGTGAATGACGAAAAAATGGATGAAAGAGAAGAGGAGGAGGAAAAAAGAGAAGAAGGAAGAAAAGGAGAAGAAAGTAGATGAGGAGAAGGAAGAGCAGAAATGATTAGGATAAAAAAAAAAAGAAAAAAAAGAAAAGCAAAAGTATGATGAAGTTGAAGTTAGGGAAGAACACATGACGGGGAAGTAGCAGTAAGAGAAGAAACACAATAAGAGGTAAAGAAGAAAAAGAAAAGGAGAATAATATGAAGAAATAGAAAAGGATGAATCAAAAAGAAGAGTATAGAAGAGAGAAGAAAAGAAAAAAATGGAGAAGTGTAATATAATATGCAAATCTAGATGGGATGCGTTCACCAAACTTCACAAAAATTTGGCGCTCGAAACATCTTATCCTCCTTAAAAGCCCAAACCATTCGAAAATTGATTCAACCATTCCTGCTGTATGGATTAGAAACTTAGACATTATCGGTTCGTCTTGAAAGACGACTTGATGGAATATATACAAATCTCCTTAGAAAAATCAAGAACATCAACGCTTAACACAATTTACGGAGAACTGGGACCAGTCTCTGTTAAACTCAACCAAAAAACGATTACAGTTTACCTGTCACCTAGCGGACAGCGGAATCGTCTCTTACTTACTCCTATGGCATCTTTCAGGAAGTGTCTTCTCACGAAAATTGACTTTTCTAGACACCCTAGCTCGGGAATCAGAGTTGGACAAACTTCAGGAAGAAAAAGAAAATATGACAAGAAAAACTGATTGATGTGTTATTTACGGTTTATCAACCTTTGCCTTTCTTTTTATAATTCCACCATGTTTTGAATTGTAAGAATAATTCTTTTCTTCTGTTTTATATGAGTGAATATTGAATTAACATTTTTTTAGAATAACAAAGATTTTCCCTCATACATGTTCTACTATTTAACCCATAGCTGGGTGAGGGATATGGGTTCATAGACTTCCCAAGTATATTTGTAAAATTCATGCAAAGAAGTCACTAACGATTACACCAGACGGTCACCCTGTCGATATATATATATATATATATATATATATATATATATATATATATATATATATATATGATGGGTGTTCCAATAACTTGGGCCGATTTTAAATGTGAATTAATTTTAAGCGTCTCATGATTTTTTCTTTTTTTTTCTTTCATATTTAAAAGGTGATGGAGAGAAAAAGAAAAAATAAAAGAAAAATAATACAGACAAATTTGGTTAGATTGAAACAAAAAAAATATTCTTTCACAAAATGTTGAAACTACCAGCGTCTCTCGTTTCGTGCACATGTGTACATGTGGCAACATCAGTAAATCCCAGTCCAATGAAATCCTAGCGGATGAAATGCGTCACAAAAAATGTTCCAGTTTGTCACATTTTTCTAGCCAGTGGCGTATTTCGTATAGAGAAAAACGTTGAAATTCCCTTTCCTTTCGCTCGACGACAGCCGAGAGGTCAAATCAGTCGGATTTCGATCGCGTCTTGAAGCAATCGGACGTCTAGCCACATCTAGGAGCTGTGATATAGCGAAACAGTCTGTTTGAATGACTATTCACACACACACACACACACACACACACACACACACACACACACACACACACACACACACACACACACACACACATATATATATATATATATATATATATATATATATATATATATATATATATGTTATGGGGTCCTCCCCTTTTCATATAAGTGAACTCTACCAGTGTTACTTGGAGTGCTGCCGTTAAATACCCAGAGTAGACAGTCAGTGAGAGAGGATATACGGAGAGAGAGAGAGAGAATATACGAACGGAGATAGTGTGGGGTAACCTCTTGTAGAAGTCAGTTACAAGCACGTAGACTCTAAGAAGTCCTACTTCGAGACTGTATATATCTATCTGTATTTGCTACTAACCGCGTTCCTGGACTTACTAACAGTATTACTCTTTGTATGATTGTGTAAATACATTTTAGTTCTTATATTTAATTATTGCGTTTGTCATTCCTTGGAGACCGAATTCATCTCGGAATCCACAACAATATATATATTGTAATTCTGTATGATTTGACTTCACTACATAGATAGTTAGTATTCAGTAAAACAACTTACTTTGCCATCGCTCGATATAAGCCACGATACATACATACATACATACATACATACATACATATATATATATATATATATATATATATATATATATATATATATATATATATGTGTGTGTGTGTGTGTGTGTATAGGGCTGTCTTGATACGTACTCAATTCCGTTAAATCAGAAGCTTAAGTCCTTAAATGTTCTTCTCCGACCACATACCTCTCTATCAAAACCTGGTAGCCTCTTTATCTTGACTGAAAGAACGCGATCCCACTTCCCTGGAAAGGTTATAGGTCGCTTGCTCACTCATCAATAACTGATTTGGCAATATCAAAGATCGATCAGTCACTGGTGATACAATACACGGTCTGTCTTTCCCACGATCTAACCACTGCTCGCCAGAGCCGTCGCCCATTCTACCATCTCTTACCATTCTCTCTCTCTCGTCAGCATGAAGGTCAGTCAATCGGCCCATGCATCAATACATCGTCTGTCCAATGCAGATGGCAACATTTAAAACTGATATTTCTGTCCGCGACTGAAATAGTTATTACGAGTGCGACTGGTGGAAAGACGAGAAACACTGCTTAATTATGTCCCGGGAGTGGAAGTAGACTCGATATCCCACAAAGACAATCGGAATTGGTTTAAGGAATGGCACAAAGAAGACAAAGAATTGAAATTAACCTTCTCCGTCTTGTTGTTCTTCTTCAGGGCGTGGGTGATCAAAGCTTTCCACAGCTTCCTATATTTTATGACTCTTAACAATGTTTTTGTATTTGTTATTCAGCCGCTCCTTGTTTTGCCATCCATTTAAACAAGATTGTTAGGTTTCTGTTTTTTAATTCTTCCACCTAGCAAGGCAATAACTACACCAGGACTCAAGGGGACACTGTGAGTGAAAGAGAATGAGGAGGTCAAAAAAAAAAAAAAAAAAAAAGAAAAAAGAAGAGGTTTCAGGAAGATGATGGTGTTTGGCGTTGCATTCCATTTTTCAAAGATTTTAGGTAACAGGAAAGCTAGGAATCGGAAGCGAGTTCCACAAGCGAAAAGAGCGAGAAAAGAAACTAGTAGAATAGAAACTACGGTTGCATCTAGCTAGTTCCCCAGCAACACTAAGAGACCTAATTGTCAATCAAGTAGCCCGCATGAATTCGTGCAGTTGAGGCCTAAAGGCGGAAAGCTCACCAGAACAATTGCCATGAAAATAATTGTAGAAAAGACAGATGGAAATGCTACTCGAAGTTTCCACAGTCCTATCAGTGTCAAATTCTCCAAGCCCTGTTTCCTCATTATATGGCTTATGTATCTGATTCTAAATGCCATTTCTGTTCCATTTTCTTTTAAAGTTCCTCGCTGTTTACACCCTCTGTCAATGGTACTATCAGCATCTTTCTGTAGAAGGATGCTGATAGTACCCTGGTTCTTCTCTATTCCCGCAGGTTTTCTCTTCATGTGCGAGGAACTTGTCCAGCATTTACTACCCTATAGGAGAAATGATATTCACCCACCAGTTTAGCGCGCTTTCTTTTGTTTCAATAGTAGTTCTCCCGTTTCTTACTGATTAGATTTTGGAAGGCATTTATAATTTTCAATGTATCTTCGGCTTTCAATGTCACATTTTCCGTACTCAGTTTAAATGTTTACTTGCGTACTTCATTCGGAGCTCGCATGTCAGGCTTTTACTCTTGTAGGCAACCATACATTCTGTTTTCTTTCAACTGATGTCTAGATGGGTATAAGAGCAATATATGATAAACAATTAAATAAATATACTTGTAAAACTTTTCTACCATTGTTGTTTATTTAATGGAATATGCGTGTATAAACGAAGAATTAACTTAATCTTCAAACACGAATCTAAAAATTTCAATAATTTTTTATTTATTTGAATATTATTTTTCTTTCAAATTGAAAGAAAACAAATACAAACGTTCTTTGTGAACAACTTCACACAAAATATTTTGTGTGTTTGTTTTTTACAGTACACCCTAATGAAGCGCATACATATGTGCATATGTATGCGACACCGGGTCTATATCGTTTTTACTGTGTGTATAAATTGTAGTCGTCGACCTCATGAAAGATAGGCAGCGAATTTAGTTGCTACAGTCACCACATGTAAAGAAACTTAACGGAAATGTCATAAACATCGCTAGACATAAGTTATGAAATATTGTATACTCGAATAAATATGTAAACACACACACACACACACGCACACACACACACACACACACACATATATATATATATATATATATATATATATATGAGTAATTAATTAATTGGGAGAATTATATTTTTGTGTGTGAAACGATCGAACAAACACCTGAGTCAAAGGTTCTCTGAAAGACTAGTTAGCGAAAAAGTATTGATCATATTTATAATAAAATAGTAGGCTTCAGATGAATCTAAAATTTAGATTATTAATCTCAAGCTTATATCCTAATTTTTAAATATTCATTTTAAGGAGGGAAAATATTGTCGATCATATTCTGAAGTGAGCCTTCAAAATTTCAAATAATACCGCGCGTCTCGTACAACGACTCTGGTTGGTTAAT